TGGGTTTTTCTCTGTATCTATGAAGCGCCTTGAGGCAACTTTTGTTGTGATTTGGCGCTATAGAAAAAAAATTGAATTGAATTGTTAATGATTAAGGAATAAAGCAAAACTCATTATGCAAACAATGCAAGCTGTCAAGTGAAATCAATATATATGTGATTGTGTGTCACAAATAACAACAAAAACCTTTTTTTGTGTGAAATAAGGCCATCAAAAGATCAATCTAAGTTTATTGTTACCAAAGACTTTATTATGATCTCAGCTGATGTTTACATTCAGTGTTACTAAAGTACATTATGTTAGAAGAACAATCTTAATAGTCTATATGATATAACTTTAGCATTTGCATCATAAATCATTGCTTTTTTGTTGCTGTATCATATTTCATTAACTTTTTGATTAGAAGATCAGAAGTGGGCCTGGTAGGCCAGCAAGTATCCATCGTTGTACATGTAGATCTGCTTGTTGGTGGGATTGTAGCTCAGACTAGCCACTGCTTTAGCTACCTTCTCCAGTGGTATTGCTAGTGAGTTGTCTTCTTTGCCTGTGGCTGTGTCGAAGGCGTAGAACACCTCCTCCTGGTACTCATTAACGTAACGAGTCGCGTACATCACACCGCACACCATGAAGGCATTGCTCACTGCCTTCTTGAACAGCCTCGTTTCCCACGTCTGTGTCACGTTGAGAGTCTTGGTCTCACCATCCCAAACTAACCAGCTGATCACAAGGTTTCCATGGTTACCTAGAGTGGCATAGAGAGCCCACAGTCCTGTCTCATCTGCCTCTACATCAACATCACTATTGAGCCGGCAATCGTAGTAACAATAGGGGAACTTGTTGTTGAAACCCACACCGGTGCCTGGAAGAGTCACCCGTTTGACCTCGTTGGTCTCCAGGTCGTACCGGCAAACGTCTGCAGAGCGGAAGCAGTTATAGTACAGAGCCTTACCGTACAGCACAGCACTGGGACCCTCAATGGCGTTGGGATGGGTGTACGATGGAGCGAATGTAAAGTCTTTGTGGTTTGTTGACGCCATGAAATCTTCATAATTTTGGTAAACACGGAGAGTGTTGCCCCAGATGTGGCTATTTGCCAGAGGCTGAACCCAGTAGCTGTATTTCTGGTCCTCGTTCTCCATCTGGGCTTGTTTGCCCCATGAACCAGAGATGTAGCTCTTACCATAAGGACTGAGCTTGGTTGTTACAGGGTCACTGATGTTGGTGATCAGGCCCTTATAGCAGTATCTGTCCTGGCCTGGAAACAGAGAAATCAGAAGGAATGCCAAGTGATGACATCAGAAATTTAAAAAAAGAAACATCCTCTATATAGACTGAATTATTTACTGGAAAACCAAATGCTTGGATGTCAATACATTTTTAGTATGTGTAAAACAGACAAAGAGGTGAATCACTCTATTAGGATTTTTTATTTCCACACGGTGTCAGATTGTTATCAAAAGGCTGGGTACATGCTTTGGAAACTTTTTTCTTCTCCCTCTACACAAGCATTGCAATATATTTGCAGTAAAAACACTGGAAAAACTGTCAGACTGAAAAAACATATTTTTAATATCATGTCAAACACACACATGAAGAATAATTTTTTCTTAACTGATTAAATGAAAGTTTAATAACACTAATGGTTTTTAAGTTTTCTAGGCTGCAGCAGTTTCAGTGCCACACACACTGAGAGATTACAGTAAAACAGACTCTTTGAGTAAAGCAGTGGAGAGTTTAAAACATGAGGATTTATTCCTCAGTTTATGCCTGATTTGTTGTCTGCTCTTGCTCCTTTCTGTTTCTGAGATAACACTAGCTAATACTAACCAGTTATACTAACAGCCAAATATCTAAAATATGGCCATAGCTTCTGAGTCGGAGTGGTAAATCCAGTGTGCAAATTTTAAACCTGCATTCTCTTTAATGACCAGCAGGGGGTGTCTCCTGGTTGCAAAAAGACTTGTAGCTACATAGGAACTCTGTGGTTGATAAGTTGGTGATGAGTGTGTGGTTTCAGTCCACATTTAAAACACAATATACAAAACAGAGTTAAGTTAGTATTCAATAGGATTCAAAATTGGTGACTGAGCCCATAAACAGTAAAGTGTTAACAGAGGTTAAATAAGTTAAATAAAGTAGAACACTTTTTGGAGTCACAGCCTCACGATCTGGTGGCCTTCAGATAGAATCCAGGTTTTTCTGACATTTATATATACTGCTGTATTTGAGCAGTCACAGTGCTTTCTTACTACAAACCTCATTCAACCATTCACACACATTCACACAAGTGATTTTTTTCTGTCCTTTATTAGAGACGATAGCTAACCACAGTATGCTTACAGCTGGCGTACGCACACACATACCTCTGAAGTCTTTGGGGATTGATTTGCAGGACTCCACATTATTCTTTAGGTAGCGCAGTTTCTCCTTTACAGCCTTCATGTTAACTAAGTCAGCTGTTTCTAACCTGTCCACATGCGTCCGCAGTTTAACCACCTGCCACAAGGTCAGAAGGTTAATTCATGGGAACACCCATTACATTTCATTTTTAAACAGACTTACTTACTAGCTTGTGACTGATATATTGTAGCATATTTCTTGTATTACACATTTGTTGTTGTTTTTTTTAATGCGTTGTGTTGCCACTTGCAGTTTCACAATACCTCTTTGGAGAGCTTCTTTGTCTCTGCATTGTTCAGCTGGCTGTGGACA